TCCCATGTCTGAGCCTCCGGAACCTGCCAGGAGTAAGTGGGGGAGATGGATTCCCTCCCADCAATGAGCCTTTTGTTTCAGTGTTTCATGCATAGCCCATGTAGGTTACATCCTTTTACAAGGCTTGCATGTCCAAAAGAGCAGCACGGGCTTTGGGAGGGCTTCAGGGATGTGCAGAGGGTGGCCCCCCGGCCTCCTCTAGCCTTGTGCTTCTTCCAGTGCCTACAGCAAAGCCAGAAGCCTCCTGGGGCTTGAGGCTACAGCTAGGCTGCTCTCCACCATGCSCTGGCACTTCTGGCCTGCTTAGATTTATACCCAGATGGTGCCCGTGCACCTGCCTGGTGAGTGTTTGAAAAGTACTTGGGAGAGAGAGGATCCTATAAGAGCCTGGTGTGTTGCCCGTCGCATTCACTACCATTCAACTCTGAAGAAACCAATGGAAATAGATAACTGGAGCCATTTCCATGTATTTCATGTTACAGATGTTCCCATAGGATACAGAGTTCTACCTTCTCATCTGGACTCTGATTTTGATTCTCTGGGCAGCCCTGCAGGTGAGTCCTCACTACTGCTTTATTCCCAGGGAGCCACGTCCCGACCTCAAGGCCAGAAGGTTTCTCCACAGCTCAGAGAACTCAGACGTACACGTGTCCCTGGTCATTTGAACATCTCTTTCTATTCACTGCACCTCCCTTGCAAACACGTACATCGCAACAGGCATTTCCCCCTTTTTATCCTSTGTGTGCAACTCCTGCTGTTCCTGGAGGCAGCACTGTTTCAGCTTCTCAGAGGCTGGAGCCTTTCGTTGACACTCCGAGACGTTTCAAGAGCAGCTATTGTATTTTCCTTGACCTTCTTCTATTCTCTTCTCTTCTCCGTCCTCTCTTCTCTTTCTTTTTTCTTTTTTTCTCTTTACTACTTTCCTTTTACCTTTTTGTTTTCCTTTTTTTTCCTTTCTTTTAGGAGTATTTCTGAATTCTTGTTTCTTGTTTTTGTATTTGATTGCTCCCTCGGTGATTCTAATATTCCAAATATATGTGCTCACCCTCAAGCATTGAGCTACACCTAGGGGTAGTGTTGGCTCATGCATTTGGGGACCAGTGTCTCTCATGACAAATGTAAATCAAGACAATTGTCCTCTAGTGGAAAGATGCTGGAATCAGTGATCAAAACGCCCAGGAATCTAAAATAGTCTGTGATTCCCAAACCCCATGAGATTAGGAATACTGCACAACCCACTGTTGAATGGGATTGTCTCCTTTCCTCCAGGGCTTGGTGGTGACAATAAAGAGGCTGCAGAGCCTAAATCTCTTCGAACATACTATTTGATCTTCCCTGGTGTGATCTCAGGATCCATGCTGTTTGGGATAGTGATGACTTGTCTGTGTGTTTACCGGAGGAAGGAGAGGAAAGCGTAAGTTCCTTTCTTTGCAACATTCTTCATATTTCCTATCTTTTAGCAAGCAAGCGTGTGATACTGTACTGTGGAGTGCCTGGCATGCTGTTGGGAGAAACCTGYTGGGACATCTGCTCTGAGCWTTCCTAGGGGGACTCTTCCTTGCCCGCGAGGACTCCTTCCTGAAAGCCATTCTTGTCTTGTCTTTGCAGAGSAGCAGTGCCACCCAATCCTGCCGCTGCCTCCAATGAGGAAGACCCCACAACAGAGGAAGGCAGAGCAAAGGCAGGAGCACCAAAAAGAAATGATGAGCTTGTTACAGAACATGAAAATGTCAGCAAGAGCTCCAATCAGCCTCCAGCGCCTCCTCTGAAATAAATCAAGATTATGTTGTCTAACCTGGTGCAAGCYCTTGGCTCTTTGGGATCTTTGTGTCTGGGTGCAAGGCACGGTGATTACGGGATGAGGGAGAGGAGGTGTCAGAGAGTTGCCCTTCATCAAGGGTGCCCTTTGTCCCATCATCAATGCAGTTTCACAGCCTGGGCTGTCATTAAGGTTTCTCCCGTGCAAATGGGGAGTGCAGAGGGACTCACTGGGACGGCTCCACTGAAGGCTGGTGGATATTGGCACCGAGGGAGGAGGAGGGATGGCCAGGCAGCACTGAGCARTGAATGARAGTAGCACCTAGGTGGGAGCAGAGGCTGAGGTGGGGGGGAGCTCAATGGTCTTCCATGCACAGAACCTACAGGTCTTGAAGTAGGGCAAAGCCAGAGAGGGTTGGTTAGGAAAGAGCAAGAAGGACTCTGCCAGCCCCACATCCATGGATGGGCTGTACCCAAGAGCGCTGAGGCTCCTGGTGGATGTTACTGCTAGGCCACTCTCCATCRTCTTAGAAAGGACATGGAGAACAGGAGAGGCACCAGAGAGCCGGGAGAAAGCCAGTGTCACACCAGTGTTGTTAGAAGCTCAAGAAGGCAGCCCRGGCACTTCCGGTCAGTCTCATCTCCACCCCTGAATAGGTCCTATAATCCTCCTGTTGAGTCCTACCATCCTCCTACAATTCCGTCCTTTCCTACAATTCTCCTGTTGAGTTCTGGAGGGACAGAAAGCTTGAGAAATCCACAGATTGCCTTGCAATCACATTCAAGGACACAAACATAAAAATAAAAGCTTTTTAATTTCCCTTTTTTTTTTTTTTCTTTAATATACCTTCACAAGTTTTCTGAAGTTTTGGGGTTGCAAACTCCAGGCCCCTTTTGTGTAATGTGAATAATGCCACAAAAGCCTGAAGAGCCACTCTGTGCAGTGGCTTTGTTCCTCTGCCACCTGTGGGGTAAACTACCTCCCTCCTCATTGCCTAGAGAACGACTCAATGCACATATCTGCTCTCAAATACCAAGAGCAGAGGCCAACGCCCAAGTCACACCGTTTCTCTGCAGCTTTGCAGCCATACGTGTGAGCAGGAGGCTCAGGGCTTCGGCCTCTGCTTCCATATGACTCCATCTGACTGAAGATGGTCTCCATGGCACTCCCCACAGACTGCAGCAGCAGGGCCTGGACTCCAACTTGCACCTGCTGGGGATGGAACAGGGCACTCAAAATCCACTCTTCCTCTCCCTCTCCTTGCTTCAAAGATCACTCAAATCCAGAAGGTCTGAAAGTATGCGAATGGCCTAAATCAGCAAGCGAATGAATACTAATTTATAGCAAATTATTCCATTCATTCCACAAACACTCAGGATCCAAAACCTTGGTTTATTAAATGTGYATGGACAAGTAAATAGCAGAGTCTGGAAGTTGTTCTCACTCTCCAAGGGCAGTAGTGTGTAGTCCATTCTTTCTGCTGTGTTCAGGGTGATATGTAGAGAAGTAAATTCCCATGTTCTACCTTTCTTATTTTTTTCCCCAGAGAATCACAGCAGTAAAAGGAAAGGGAAGGAAGAGGGGAAGGGAATCTGAAACCTTCCTCGGAAGCTTCTTCTGTTATCCCATTTTAGG